TTATTCAAATTAAATACAGAACATTCGCATATACAGTATAGTAGGTATACATATGTGAGTGTACATTGGCACTATATATGTAAAATTGCACTGAATCAGTGCAAAATATGAGCGGCAATCAAAAACGGTAATATCAGCACTATGCCGTGCATATGCAATATTTTATTGTCACTGGTGTGTTGCGCAAAAAAAAAGAAGTTGTGCACATCATACGAATAAATAGTCCGGACACGTCCGGATATGTGAAAGTGCTCGAGCAGTGACCGATTTCGATTTTTAATATTGTCCTATCTCTGCTATAAATGTGTAGTTTAGCATGTATGTATGTATGTATGTACGAAAATGTAGGTAGGTATGCACTAGCATAGCGAATGGTTTGTGTTGATGTGTGCACATATCCTGAATGCATTCGCTCACCTCTTGCTTTTCAATAGCCATGCGCACCGCATCCACATCATCGACGGCAACACTTTGTATTTTTATCATATTTTGTTCCCACGTCAACCAATCTGATATTTGAAGTACGGATTTATCAAAACTACCAGCCAATGCACCGGTGCCGCTTGGTTCGTCGTTGTAATCTGAAGGAGAACAAAAAAGAAAATAAAAGTTCATTTATCAAAGAGCTTTATAAATGGCGGAGAAGACACAAATACATAAATGTGATTTAAAAACTTGTAAACGACTTGGTGCAGTCGATAGAGTATTAAAAATTGTTTGGTATTGACTCGGTATTTATCATTATCAACATGATAATTGAAAAAATATGTATATAGCATTGTAGGGGAAATCTCAATTTTTGAAATCACACAAAAAGTAGTTTCGCTTTGTAAAATCAGTCAATAAATTAAATAGAAATTAGATAATTAATCATAAATCAAAAACAAAATGAAGAAAAAACTATTTTACATTTATTTTAGCTGGGGAAATTTAAAAAAATTGCCTAAAGGTTTGCAACCATTTTTTTTTGTTTTTTTTGTATCAAGTAAAAACCACACACACGTACTCATATGTACACGTGCTAAACATATGTATATCTATAAAAATAATGAAAAAATATTTGTGCGTAGTTGATTTATGTGAAGTGATTTGATCGAAACATAGTAATTTATGCTGTAATGTGAGCCTAGTTTAAGAAAATTTTAATTTTTATGAAAAAAATGCTACTTTTAAGAAGGAAAACATTTAATAACTATTTGTGTGAACGCCTGTTCTGTTACCTAAAAATGAAGATACTAACGACTAAAATCGCGCATGGCCTTCCATAATCGTACATGGCGTATGAGTAACATTTTCCATATTAAAATGTAAATTCTTATTCATTCGCAATCCAAACTTAAAACGAAAATATCCTGGGAAAATGTCCTGATCTAGAAAAACGGTATACATGTATTGTTTTTTTGTGTCATTTATGCGTCCCTACATTTTAATCAGCACGCACACGAGCAAATCTCACGGTAGAGAAATAACGCGAGACTTAGACAAAAATCTCGCTAGAGACGTGTAAAACTCAATAGAGAATTATCTATTTGCACAAAAAGCATTAAGTTACAGTTAACCTAGCAAAGCTTTAATTATTAACTGAGTAAGCATCTACAATAATTTTGTTGGCCCTAAAAAGCACATAAATAGAACTTAATTCCCCAATACTACTTATCCAAATTCGACCAAAGTTCAAAAAGTGGGTCAACTAACGTGACGACAAGCGATTTTTCAATGTATACTCGGCAATATTTTAAAGCACAAAAAACAAGCCAAGGTAAGCAGTAAAAAGTCTTCACTGAATGAATGTTTTGCTAAGCTACGGCTAAGCTAAACACTAAAAGTGGCCTGAAATAGCACACAATAAGCACAATAATACGAAAATATTTTCTATTAATTTTTCCATTTGAGCTCCGCTGGCTTGATTGAGCTGTCATACGTTTACCAATGTTATGAATAGATTCGTTGAATGAGTTTTGAGATCCAAAGTATCCATTAATATAGGGAGTGGCATGATTTAACATGAATAAACCATAGGAATATTTGTTTAGTAAATTGTTAAATTCGTTTGTGCTCTTTATACATTTAAAAATGGGCGGGACCACTCCGCTTTTTACGAAATCGGTAACCGGTACTTAAAATTCGGATTTACGACATTGTTAACGAGTACAAAAAAGCGACTTTATTTTTGAAATAACCATAATAAAATAAATGGACGTAATCACCCCGCTTTTCTCAAAATTGGTAACCGGTCCTAAAAACCGGGTTTTTCGAGATTGATAGCCGGTACAAAAAACCGATTTAATTTTTGGAATCACCGTGAAGTAGTCCTTGTAGGAGTAAAGTTGTAATTCTTGCATATTTCGCAACGATGCGGTAATTCCCAATATTTTTTTATCAAAAATTCTGAACAGCTTGTTAACATTTTTATCCTGTATGGAATTTTTTCCAACTTAAGTGCTATATTGATTTAACTACTATATTGCAAGATATTGGCATTTTATTCGTGAATGCTAAACGCTTTAGACATTTATTGTACTAATTAACTATACAGTATTTTAATTTCACATCTTTCAATCAAAATTAATTCGAATTAATTGGACCAAATAATTTTGAGTAGCCGCAAATTTGCGTAATTTGATGGCAACCAGGTCGAACCACTTTGTCTAATTAGTATGCCAGAGAGATTTGCTAAAATATTGTAAATTGCGCACACCACAAATCAAAGAAATTGTGAGCACTTGAGATTGGAAGTTGTACAATGTATTTAGGTCAAGCGAGCAGAACCGATGACAGATAAATTGACACTAAAATGCAACGAATTGCGAATTGAAATTAAGGGAATAAGCAAGAAAATATGAAATAAATTTATGCTCAAAAAAGTAAGTGAAAGTTGATGGGAAGAACCATAAGAAATGGTTTACGGTGGCAATTGAGAATTGAGGAAACGAAAACACTGAGTGCGCAATAGATTGGTATTCTACTACAGACATAACATCACACCCACTTAATTAATTATGCCAGCTAAGAGTTCAACAAAAAACATAAAAAAGACATTACAGAGGGAGCNAGGAAACGAAAACACTGAGTGCGCAATAGATTGGTATTCTACTACAGACATAACATCACACCCACTTAATTAATTATGCCAGCTAAGAGTTCAACAAAAAACATAAAAAACGACAGTACAGAGGGAGTGAAGAAAATCGAAAAGGAAAGAATTCATCTTAACACCAAAAGCGAAGAAAAAATTAGGTAAAACTGATGCGCTCGTCAATTAGCTGAGTTGGCAGGCAAACGTCCTCTTACACCAATTACTCGTCGCATTTACGGATGTCACTAAAATACAGTACATATGTATGTACATTAGGGTGGTCCAAAAAAAAGTAAAGTCTTAAATTTAATGCTCTCACCCCCTAGGATTGTTCTATACCGAAAAAAATATACCCCTGTTTTTTTATTTTAAAATCAAAAAATATATTTAGAGGTCGCTCAAAGCGCTCAAAGTTTCCCATGTATTTTGTATGGGGAAAAAAAAAAACTTTCGTAGATATGTCATAGAATCCATGGAAATCAAAATTTTTCAATCTGAAAACTCTGCTTCTCTTCACAAGACTTCAGAGAATAATGCCCAATTGTTTATTTAAACATTTTTTAATTTTAATTTTGAGCGACCTCTAAATATATTTTGATTTTAAAATAAAAAAACAGGGGTATATTTTTTTTCGGTATAGAACAATCCTAGGGGGTGAGAGCCTTAAATTTCCGATTTTACTTTTCTCCCATACATTTTTGGACCACCCTAATGTACATCCAATGCTGCTGCTGTACCCTTCTCAGCTGTTCAATTTGGCGCATCATATCAAATGGCGGCTGTTAGTGACCGGGGTGCGTGTTGAAATGCTAGCCACATTTGGCCCCCTTATAGCTGTTTGACTTTAAGTTTTATTTTCGGTTTAAATTAGTGCGGTTTTGATTAACTTAGTTGTTGCGTTTGATTAATTCGGGTTTGTTGCGGTGAGTAGCATGTTACGTTAATTAAACCCTCCTTAAATGGTGGTTAGTGGTTGTATTTTTTTGTTTAGTAGAATGAGCATTGATGGTAAAAAAGTTACTGTGCGCGAGATGTCTTAACACCTCCATTAGAAATCGAGGCAACGATATTTTATTTTTCACTGACACGGCACTGATGTGTGTAAATTGATCCGCAGGTTATGGATATATCTGGTATCTTGAAATGGGGGTAGGTAGGCTGTCTTTCGCCTGAACTCAACAGCCACTTCAATCTACTATTCAAAATAGTACACCAGGTAAATTGTTTACTTAAAACTCAGTGGATAATGTTACATTGTGATGAAGATGAAATGGTGAATTAATCAATTGATCATTTTAATTCGTTCGATTCTCCAGATATTCCATTTCAATTTAAAATCATCAAATTTTTTGTACGCCTTTCATTCGCCATTGCCTTCAAGAAAGTGCAAGTAAAGTATTTGTTATTGGTCACATGACCAGCCCTATGTTGTATGTTCACGATTAGTCGTTAGCTATTTGTTCAACAAATGAAAAAGCTTCATCACAATTAGGAGCACTTCTTCGAGCCGTTTGATTCCAAAGGAGGTTTCAGACAGAGGGACTTCCTTTTGTGTATTTAATTGCTTCAATCTGATATTAGAGAAAATAATAGCAGCCACATAACTGAACCGCTCAGGTAAAATTCTTTACAGCAGCGTACAATAGCATCGAGATCAACGGTAAAAAAGTTCTGCTATTCCCGAATTAGATAGGGAAGCAAAACGTGTGGGTCTGGTGGTGAACGAGGACAAAACAAAGTGTCTCATGTCGTCAGAGCATAAGCGTCTCGGTACTCAGGTAGCTGTTGAGAGTAAAATTTTCAGAAGAGTAGATCGCTTCGTTTATTTAGAAATCAGCGTTAGCACCAATAATAATGACAGCCTTGAAATCCAACTTAAAACATATCTTGCCAACAAGAGCCACTTTGGACTCTCGTCGTACAAAAATCACCCTCTATAAGTCACTCATAGTGCCCGTGCTGATCTAGGGCGTAGAAGAACGGACAATGAAAATTTCCGATGAGACGAGTCTTGGAATTTTCGAAAGAAAGATTTCGATGATCTGTTTGAGCTTTACAGCGGTATATACAGCGGATTGAAATCCAGTGGCTACGCTGGCTTGGTGATATCTTACGAATGGGAAATTCTGAGTAAGATAGTAAAAACGAAGATAGTTGGCAAGATAGCTCGAAAGCTTTTGTTATTTTAGCGCTAAAGTCTTAGAAAAACAGCTCTCTCATTCATCACTCGTGGTGAAAATCTAGTTTGGGAGAAAGCACTTTTATATATATCATTTAGCTCTCGTCGCTCCAATAGTCGCAATGGTCGAATGAACCAAGCACAGGCGAGGCATTCGAGAGATCCGAGTGCGGGTATTTTTTCTTTTTCAATAGGTTTTTTTTATTTATAGAAGTTATTGTTTGAAAATGAAAAAAATTTATAAATTTTTAACTTCATTTAATTTTTAAAAACTTATTGTATTTTTTTTTCTTTTAGTTTATTTTCTTTAATTTAATTTGCGTTTT